GTAAGTACACTAAAGCCTGCCCCGGCTATGAATGTCACCGGCAGACATCTCTTTAATTTACAAAGGCTTCCGGTGTGATACAAAATTTGCACTTTTCAGTCCTGAAATCTATTTTTAAAAAATTCAGTTTTTATTACTTACTACACTACTCTGTATTGGAATATTAATTGCTCCACGCAACAATATTTTAGAAAGTCTGTCAAGGTCGCCTTGAACTCGTGTCTGTACCGGTACCGGCATCCGAACGATGGTCTCAGGGAAGATATTTTTGGGAAAAAAATGCATGTCGGACACTTTTGGAACATGCTGAGTTTAATCGTGAAATCGGTTTTTTAATTTGCTTAGCGGTTTTTTCTAGCCACGTTCGGACGTGGAACGGCCGTGGAACGTGGAACGTTGAATGTAAAACGGAATACCGTAAAACCCGATATTAACGCCCTGGGCTTTTATTTTTTCGAGAATTCGGGAGGGGGCGTTTAAAATCGCACGGGGCGTTAATTTCGGGGGGGGGGGCGTTAATATCGGGTTTTACGGTATTATGATCGATCATAATATAGATCTATTTCCTTGATATTTCCTTGATAATAATAATTTAATACACTTTATTTACCTGTGGTACAGAGTATTATGCATTATTTAAAACATCACAATTTTTACAAGATAACTAACTTTAAACTTTTCCGCTCTTTCCATTGTACCAAAAACTGAGGCCGCATTCCCCCGTTTTATCTCCAGGGACAATCATTGACGCAAAAATTCATGGAAACGCTTTTCGCCTGTTTGCTGTTCCAGTCGTTTGCCCAGTTCTTTGATAATGGCGATAGCAGCCGGTCCCCAAGGGCCCATTGTTTTCAAGGCTAACGGAGCAAAAATATACCTGCAGCTCAAGTACAGACAAAGCCGCGACTTCTTTTTCGCTTCCATCGGCTGCACCTGCGTTAGCCGCCGTAGATTTAAGGTGGGAAGGCGCAGCGGTATCCAGACACGTGACATCCCATGCTAGAAACATTCCCCTCTGCCAGGCAAAAGTTGTGCAGCCATCGGGACGTCGTTGGGACGTATGTGACGTGCCGCGAGGTTCTTACTTTGCCGGGATCCCAGCTGAAACAAAACAACGGCCCACGATGGTGTTCAGTGCGCCGTGCCTTGGGTGTTTACCAGCCGAGAATGCGCAGGACAGGCCGTGGTGTCCGTATTTATCTACATGCTTATGGCACTTCAAACACTCGTGGGGTTCGCATATCGCCACTCCCAACCTCACACCCACTGAGATTTTAAGAGTGTCGTCGTCCAAGAGGTTGCCAATATCAGCGGAGGGAAATGCGTTTAACCAGATTCCAGCTTCCGGTTTTGACTGAGCAAGAAGGCGGGCTTTGTTAAGGTCATCGTTGCGGAAAACATCTAGCAGCGTGGACAAAGACACGTTTCACAAAGGCAAGTCCCATGGCTTTTGCTGCTTGCGAAAGTTCGCTGCAGGTAGCTCAGGTAGACGAGCGTTCTTTCTCCACAGCTCAAGAGCGCCTGTAATTTCAGTAAAGACACCAAATCAGATAATTAATTACACAGTAACTGGATAATAATAATATGCCTATATGTCCACATTCCATATTTAATTACACTTATGTCTTATAGCCTACGAATAAAGTTCTGACATAAAAAACTGAAATTATTGTCAATACAATGTCATTTGCTCGTCCACGGATGGAATTTAACATGTTTTGGACTGTAGGCTCTGGAGAGCTGCGCATTATTTCTATTTTGTTGAGAAACTTACTTAGACCTGGACTATTGGGGGGTGACCTTATAGTAATCCAACACCGTTTTGAACGTACATAACGTTTTAGTGGAACCTCAATAAAAAACCAGGTGAATTTCTGATAATAACTAATAACTGTTTGCGGCCAGTAGACAGAATAATGCTTTATAACTAACAAGAACCGGGAATTGTGGTTATACAGAATTTGTTGGTTTGGTGTCTTAGAGCGTTTGACGTGTTCCTTCCTGTTGCATTTCTAAATGAAACATCGTTTTTATTGCGTTAACTGCAGCAGCATAATTAAAATTTGAAGTTCTTTTAATTTTTACGTTTATCTTTTAATTTCTAAATCACATCAATTTGTAAATCACTAACGTACAGAAGTTTTACATATAAGACGGCCCTGCATGTACATATTAATTCACGAGCGTGGAAGTTTTTGAAAGTTTTTTAATGGAAGTTTTTGAAATGCAGTTTCTTCCATAAGTATGTAGTAAGTAACTATTGGAGTTATCACCCTCTGCATGCAGAAGCACAGCATACTTCTCCGCTGTCAGTTATTGCATGGAAAAGAAAAAAAGAAAGTCATTATTCACCTCGAAAAATACCAGATCAAAATAAAAACCTATATGAAATCGCGTTTGGACGGAGGTCATGTAACTAATATTGTTTGACGAGTTAGAAGGCACATCCCAGGTAATCTTGAGAAGCTTAACTTCGCTCTTTGTATACTGTAGCATTATAAGTGGAATTTAGAGCATTTCCGTTGCCTGGTCGTCATGATTGTCTACTTCGACCGTCTCTGGTCTGTCTGCATTGCTCACAGTTATTTTATTTTGTGCTTCCGCAGCTGTCTTGTCCTCTGCCATAGCATCAGTTTGATCTTGGCTCTCCATGTGTACGGATCCGGAAAGTACAGATTTCACTTCTGATATCGCGCATCTATCCGAAGAATCGTTTTTTATCGGCATCGGGTCCAGTACTGCGGTATCAAAGTTGGACCTAATCACGTCCAAGAATTCTTTCAATTCTAGGATAGTTTTCTGCAAAATAACTTCTATTTCGTGACGAGCATTGTCGATCGACACCACATGTGTTCCATCAGAGTTGAAATAAACTGGCATAACGACCACGTAGCCGAATGGTACAGGTAGTTTGGTGATAATATCACCGGAGGTCAAGACACCCAAAGAAAGCCATTCGACTGACGACCTGATTACAAAGGTTTCTGGATGTGTTTTCTGTACTTCTTTGCTGCGATTTCCATACCAATGGCTCAAAATATTCACGCAGGTAAAAGAAGTCAACAGCGACGAACATCGAGTGCCTACAATGTACATAACAGCATGAAAAGTGCTTGACAATTTATTGTGTCAGTGCTCCGTTGTTATAGCATTGATCGACGGGTCTTCTTACCGAGTTTAAACATCCCCTTTTACAGCAAATGTTAATATAACGTATTATTGTTTAAATAGCGATTTTAAGGCATCGCCATTTCGGAGTATGTTATCCACCACACTTACTTTCCAGTATTTCTCGATAGTTCAATCGCATCGGCCCATCCACAGAGATACCAGTCTGCAATTTTTGCGCATCACAAAAAACCTGTAACAACGGTCGCGAAAATTCTATAGTTTTGGGTGCCTCGATAACTCCGCGGTGCCCAAACACTTCTACATTTGTTGGATCAAAGAGCATTGTTCCACCCAGATTACCCCAGGCGGCTGTACCAGCAACGTCAGCTGTTCGAACTCCAAGCTGCTGTGCTATAACGCTGCGATAACTCCGATCCACCGCTAAGGCATTGACCATAATGTTCGATGCCGGAAGCTTGCCGTTTAGTTTCTGGCACAAATACGTTCCCACCGCGCACAACGGTGTTTTGAATCTGCTGCTGGCTAACAAAATCTTGGTGTCTTTTAATTCGCCACAATTCTGGAAAGCGTCACTTATGTTCGCAAAATCGTTGTATATCTCCTGAACAATGAGAAACAAAAGCTTTTGACTCATCCCACTGCGCAGGGCATACGTACGCCCTTCCAGTGCTGTGTAAACTTCTTGTCGCATGGACCACAGTATGATTATTAAATCTTGATTCGCCACGGCTTGTTGTAAATCTGCCTCGTACAAGGTCTCGTAAAGCTGTTCAAGGCGATGGCTGTTATTTTCGAGATAATCATTAATGCCGACATCCGTCCAGTGAAACCCATGTCGTTCACGAAATTTCGCACAAGTATTATGGATTGTTAAACGGATCAGCTTATCTCCACCAAGAATACTTTCCTCTCCAAACTGCTGGATCAGACGCAATGGAATGGTTTCCAAATGATTTGTGGCAATTATCGCTACTCTCCATAAATTTTCAGGGTCAGCTTTTTCCTTAAAATGACCACGTAATCGCAAGACTTCCGACTGATTGTCGGACGCATACCCGTCAATGTATTCTAAAGGGATTGTGTCACAGTTCAGGTGAAACAACTGTTTCAGGTATAATCGGAAGGAATCGACACCTCCAATATATTGGTACGGGTTTTGTGAAGCTTCACGGTAAACGATAATGTTGTTGGACAGATCATGATGCCATCCGCAATAACCGCGCAATACTTGGAGGAAACCCTACAGACTGATTCGGAATGATGAGAATAAGGAACATGATTCACAATCAAATGCCTTTTTTTACCGCCCATTCGTCCGTCATCAAAGGAACCTTTTTAGCAACACAAGCAGGATAGGATTGTTGAAATTTGCTCAATATCCATTCACATTCGGCGTAATCTTCAGAATCGCAAATTCCTAGAATAAAGATTAATACAATTAATTATCAATGTAATATACTAGAACTGTGCCGTCCACCTGCTAGAACAATCAGAGCCGGAGCATTCTGCACGGAGCCCACAAGCGGAAAAGTCACGACATCTCGAAAGCCTTGCATTGTGTTGAATGTAATAAAATATGATAATCAAAGTAAACAACTAGGACCGTACTCAGACCGATATTTAACTGATTCGGATTCCTAGTGTTGTTGTTGTTGTTGTTGCATAAATAAGTATACAGCGGAATCCTTACAATGACCATTGCTCCAACGAATATAAGTTAGAGTCGTCAAGGCAACAAAGTAAGAATAACAACAACATTAAGAGAATAACATTCACTTGGGTGAGACAGGAGCGTCTAAAAATCATTCTCGCTTTGAGCAGCTCATTCTCGCTTTGAGCAGCTCGAATACGGATCTTATTTTTTTAGCACTGTAAAACCGTGTATCCGTGTACATCAAACTGTATGTTAACTAGTGACCTTTAACTATATTTTGATTGGAAACTTAAATATCATGGGTAACCCCGAAGACGGGGACGACTCTCATGTGGAAGATTTATCTGACCTACAGTATGTTGATCTGATCAAGAAACTATCCGATATTATTGACGAATTGTACGACAACCTGCCATCCAAAGGTTCCAAGACCAAAATTCTGCCGATTTTGACCGATAACGAGGAGGCCTTGAAGCGCATTCCCTCCCTGCTGAAGGATCATCACATTCGCCTTTATGAAAACGCCCTGAAAACGGAGACCCAGCTGAGCTCTGAGAAGGAACGTGTAATCCAACTGACCCGCGCAAATGTCCGCACTCCCAGCGCTACCACCAACGACTGCGATACGGAGGAACCATCCCGCCAGCGAGCAACCTACGCCAAGGTGGTCACCAGCTCCAGGCCGCCAAACCAAAAGAAAGTCCTGCTGTTACATCCTAAAGATGCCGCCCCGTCCAACCGTGCCCGTAAGTCCTCCAACGAGATGGCTGATTTCTGCAAAACTCTGACCGAAATTCTTCCCAATGGAATGGAAACTGCCAACATCACCCATATGAGACCGGCGTCAGGTAAGTCAGTACTGGTAGAATTCAAAAGCGAAGAAGATGCTGTGAGAGGAGAAGCTATGTTTGGTGAACACGCAGACAAACTTGGTGTGTCTATTAAGAAGCCCGCTTCCCGAAAATACAGAATGATTGTACGCAGAGTGCCAGTTGCTTTAACGGAAGATGAGTTTTTACGTGAGCTATCGTCAAAAAATTTGCCAGAAAAAAGCGAAGTCAAAGTGGTAACTTTTTTGAAAAGCATACGTGCTGATCGTAGTACTTGTGCAGTTGTAATCGAAGTTGACCTTGCGACAAGAAATTATCTGTTAAACGACAGACAAACTGTGAAATTAGGGTGGTTTCTGTGTCCCGTTTCTGATCATTTCTACATTCCTCAGTGCAAAAAATGCTGCGAATTTTTCCATAATGAGAGAGATTGTAAGAGCAAGCCTATGTGTGCGTATTGTGCTAAAGATCATTTGTCAAGTGATTGTACAGAGGATGATAACTTCGCTTGTGTGTGCGCAAATTGCCGTAAAGCCGGTAAGTCCTCACCTGAAAATATGCATTCGGCCTTTGCACACGACTGGTGTGATGTCTACGTAGATCTAAAAAATTCGAAAACCTTTTACAATAGCTATCGAAAAAACGAAGTAAGATCCCGGAACCTAAAAAAGCTGATCCAATAATCATCGTAAAAGAAAATTCTACCCTGAAACCTGACGTAAAAATTTCTAGCCGGTTACGTCATGCTTGTACAGTTAAGGTCCGTTACTCCAATGTAAGAAGTGTTAACAAAAAAGACAGCGAAATAAAATTTTTTTGTTCCGAAGCGGATATTATTGGTCTAACTGAGACTTGGGACGTTGATGAATTTGTTGATGAAAAGTTCGCGGATCTTCGTTCTTTTAACGTTTTCAGGAAGAAGCGATTCGGGAAAATAGGTGGTGGAGTTGCATTAATTGTTCGACAAAACCTTAGACCTTTTAGATTAACAGAACTGGAAACGGATACTCTTGAAGCAATTTTTGTTAAAATTTCTGCCATTGACAGAATTGTGATGTGTGTGTACATTTCTCCTGAGAAAGTTCAATCAACAATTCCGATCCTGTTACAACATCTTGAAGAAAAAATTCCAGTTGCTGACATGTCTAAATTAATAATTATTGGCGATTTTAATTTGCCAGGCATTGACTGGCTGAATATGAAAGGTCAGTCACAGGTTGGCGACGATTTTATATTTTTTTTAAAAGAATTTTCTTTAAGCCAAATAATTAATTTCCCAACTCGTGAAAAAAACTGTTTAGATTTATGCATGCTTTCCCCTAAGACGTGCGTGGCATATGTGAAGCCAATTAATCCACCGTCGGTCAAATGCGATCATATCGCCTTTGAACTCTCCATTTCAGTGAAACGTACAAAGTCTACACCATATATGCCGCCGAGTTGGCATATCTCAAATGCCGATGTACAAAGTTTTATAAATGATTTAAGTGGGGTAAACTGGGTTGACCTTTTGAAATCTTCGAGTACCAACAACCGTGTAGAAACGTTCGAAAAAGTATTTGTTGAAATTGCTGAACGATACTTTGTTTACAAAAGCAAAAAACTTCGCGGCCCTGTTCCCTATCCAATAAATATAAAAAAGTCTATTAAACGTAGAAATAAAGCTTTCAAAAATTATCGTGCTGTTATTACGAGTTCGGACGAAGCGCTAAAACGTCGCCTTAAAATGATATGGAAGAATTTGTCGAGAAAAGCTGAACGACTGATATGTAAATTTGAACGTAGTCGCTTGACTGACGCTGCTACAGCAAGTCGTAATAATCCTAAAAAGTTTTGGCGTTTCGTGAAGTCTACCAGTAATAAAATCGGTATCCCCCCGCTGAAGCTAAATGACAGAAGTTTTGTTTCTTCTGATTCCCAGAAAGCCTCTACTTTAAATCATGTTTATTCTGAGTCTCAGGGACCATGCAAGAGCCACTGTATAGGGTCAGGTTTAAATTTGCAGATAGAGAACAATGAGCCCGCCATAATAACGGAAAGCATGATTTATTACCATATTGCACGCTGTTCGTCCACATCTTCCAGTGGTCCTTTTAAAATCACTAATACCTTATTAAAATTAGCTGCTACAGCAATTATCAAGCCGTTAAAAATTGTTTTCGAAGGCGCTCTAAATGAAGGTTGTTTCCCAACAAAATGGAAGCAGTCTTTTATTGTCCCCATTCCGAAAAGCTCGAAAGACCATATGAATCCGAATAATTATCGCCCGATTTCCATGTTAAGCCCTTTATCAAAAATTTTTGAACGGTGCATAGACGAACATATTCGCGAATACCTAAAAAAACACCTTAAATTAACTGACCACCAGTTTGCTTATCGCGAGAAACGTTCGTGCGAACTGCAAAATTTTTGGTTAATTAAATCTGTTAGTGACTTTATCGAACGTGGTACCGATGTGCATGCCATTTTTCTTGATTGCTCGAAAGCATTTGACAAATGTGACCATGAAAAAATTCTGGAAGCACTGATCAAATTGGGAATCTGCAGTCAGGTAGTTCACATAATAGATGATTATTTACGAAACCGTGTCCAGTGTGTTATTATAAATGGTAATGTTTCGGATTTTTTGAAGGTAACTAGTGGAGTCCCGCAGGGTTCTGTCTTAGGACCATGCTTGTTTATTTGCCTGCTAAATTTTCTTTCTTTTATTCTTACCCACGGCAGCGAACTATTAATTTTCGCCGACGATATCGCTATTTATCGCCCAATAATAACAGAAGGTGATAAAAATGCGCTACAGGTGGATATCGGAAATGTAAAAAACTGGGCCAATGAGAATAAACTTTTCTTTAACGTTAGCAAAACCTTTCATGTCTGTTTCTCGAAGAAAAGGTCACTTACGAGTACGCATGAGTATGTTCTTGATGGTACTGCAATAGAGCGCTGTGAAAGTGTAAAGTATCTGGGTATCGTCGTAGACCGCTCATTAAAATGGAAGGAAAATACGGACGCTGTCGTTTCGAAATGCAGAAAAAGAATCCGTTGGATAAATTTTCTATTTAAAAGAATAAATTCTGCTGCCCGCATTCAGTTATTTAAATCCTTAGTGCTACCTGTCTTTGACTATTGTTGTTCTGTTGTCCCTCCCTTTCATAAAACCAGCCGAGATAAGCTTGACCAATGTATGGAGCGATTTCTAAAAACCGTCCCTTTGGGCCATAGCGACTTTAAAGGTCAATTAAAAGAGTTGAACTGGGACTGTTTCGAAGTTCGCAGGATGAAGAAATGTCTAATCCTCGCCTACAAATTAATATTTTGTCGCATCCCGCTTGGGGAGAGATTTTATCTTCCATATGAACACGATTCTGCTGGTTTTGTTTCTGTTGCAGGTAACACCCGATCCGTACATCGACTCCTGAATCATCCATATCCAATTCGTCCAGCCCCGACAGTGCTTTGCGGAACCTCGGTAATACCGACGCCGGAATCCCATATTCATGAAATCTGCGAGTTATGGAATGAAATAATCTTACCGAAAGAATCATATTCTTCAGTAAACACGTTCAAGAATGCCCTCGACAGAGTCACCTGGAGTAAACTGCAGTGGAGTAAGCTGCAGCGGACCAAGAAAAACTGGGATACCGACCTGTTGTACTAAATTTTAAATTGTGTAATATTTCTACTGACAACGAACGACTTTAGCGACTGCTTCCACTTTATTTTTGCATGTTTTTGTTTGCCGAAATATTAGCATCTAGCACGTAAACGTGTAATGACCTTTAACAAATGTTAAAACTTCTTCTTTTTGATAATTTCAACTTTTGTTCCTTTTGTCTGGAGTGTCAAATGCTTTGAGGGGACCGTGTCCCGATGCATAAGACAATAAATTCAAATTCAACAACAGTAACAACGTCTAGTCGCTTAAGAATACATCGCTGAAATTAAATCTGTTTAAAAACTCCAAAACTTTAGAAAGCAGCGGCAGCAGCCACTTTCTGCTAAGAAAACTCAGATTCTTAAGGGGATCACTCACTAGCAGTAGAAAGCGTGTTTGGGAAAACGGGAATGGTTTGAAAACGATGACCAGATATGTATTTTCACAACTTTGACTGAACGCAGAGAGGATTTAGCTACACAATGGTCTGACGCGATCCTCTCTGGC